CCCCATTTTCTTAACACAGATCAACTGTTATACCCTTGGGAGAGCAACTGACTATGGAAATCGAATTTTTTAGCTGATTTGATTGACATGCTTTACGTGATTCGCAATGTAAGATCAGTTCATTCTCTTCTTCAGGGTAGTGAGAGCATTTATTTCAAGAACAAATTGACTTTGTGTCACGCGAATTTTTGAGTAGCTCAACTCGCTTTCATTTGTTCCTCTGATTCTCAAGGTCATCTCAGTCTAATCTTAGTGGCACAGGAAAATGAAGAATCAATATAAATAACCCCATTTTTCGTTTGTGATGAATATTATTCGGATCTGATTGAACCCTGTGATAGGAAAGCTATCTATTCACTCGAGATTTTTAATAAAAAGCGTTGATGTGTTTTTCATGAGGCAAAGCCAAGCGATTCATCTCTCCGTTTGGACAGTGTCATTTTTAGAGCCATCTGGTGACTGTAGAAGGTATTTGCAAGGATGTCACACTGATTGATTGCCTTGATTGATTAGATGTCTGAGCACAACAGGGTTTAGTTATCAGTCTCTATATCAATGTATCCTCACGAATTATTGATGAATTATTACGGAACAGGCAATATTCGATTCAGAATTATTATTATTGTTAATAAGGAGACGTTACATAAAATGAAGTGGTTTATAATTGAAAGTATTCAACAACATTTTATTGTAAGATTATCATAAAGTAAAGTTCCGAAACGTAGATTCAAAATCTGTTAACATATGTTGCGTCTTCTCCCTAAGAACTTGTGCGAGCTGAGGACTAACGAGGTCTCACTTATTAACGTGTGATTCTTGGCATAGGTTGGACGATATGGAGTGGAAATTTATCGTTCGGCCTTGCGGTTCGAACCACCGGTCCACATTGTGGTTGATTGAGTGAGTGGAGCAAACTACCCACGTCAACCCAACCGGCTATCTTTCCACCAAATAGTAATTTTTATATATTTTCATCAATGAATAGTATTATTCACTTATTAGTCAGTGGGCTATGCTGAAAGAGAGGCAGTGAACAAATCTGAAGAAGTGAACTTTTAATGTTCAAGCCCGTCTCGGATACACCTATACAGTAGGTTGAATGGACTGAATATTCGACAGGCATCAGTGCAGGAATCTTCACAGAAAATTTCCTGCATATGCAATTGGTAATATAACTGAAAGAGTTGACCTTCAATTTTGGAACGGGCACACTTGCAGACCAGTTTCGGTCTCCATAGCCACTCGTCAGTGCAAGATAGTGGCCATCATCGACGTAAAGTCAATGATATTCCATAATTGAAAATCAAAATTCTTTCAGAGTATTTTATTCCTGGTCTTCAGTTGGAGCGAAAAACCAAAATGTCACTCCATATAGTGGATGAGGTACTAACCAACTGCATATCCTAAATTTGCCCGTAAAGATTCTTGTACTGACGCTTGTTGGATATAATCCAACGCCGTTCGTGGTGTTAGCCAATGAAGTAGTTGTAGCTGATAGGCATCAGTCCATTCAACCTACTGTGTGGGTATATTCCAGACGGGCTTGAACATTTAAAGTTAATTTCTTTAGATTTGAATGATACAATCATGAATTTTTCTGATTATTGTTGCGTATTTGCTCCCGGTTTGAATTAATGAAAAGAGCAACTGAAAGATGAAAATAGAGGGTTGTGCAAGTATTCTTTTATTCAGTAGAACCTATACAAAAAATGGTTAGGTAATAGAAAATTGCCAAACACATTTCAGAATATTGAATTGTGAGTTCACAATCGATATGAATATTTTCATTTTCATTGGATAAGAAGTGAAATAGAAATCTCTCGGGTGAATGCATACTAATTTTTCCTCTGAAATATGGCTTTACTGATACGTTACTAAACTCAAAATGATATATGGTTTCATAAAAAAGTATTCCTCTATTCCTGTCATCACAAATGGTATTTTCTCACTTTGCCATTTGAAAGGAAGAATGAACTCATTTGTTTGGTAGCTCATTTGCCTCATTCATGAACGGTTATTCAAAAGTGTTGGCAACGATGGTAATCAGGGTAGTTGTGCACTAACAAATATGTTTTTCCCAATGAGAAGCTTCCGCCTCATGCTAACAATCGGATAACGTTCGATAAAAGTTACGTAGATTACAGTTTACGTCGCATTGTCTTCCAAAATGATCTTCTTTCAGTTTTTCCACTACTTTCTTTCAGGTGTAGACACATTCAATTCGGAATTTCATCAGTTCGGACTTGCATTGTCTGATGTGATTTGAAATCCCTGAAAAAACGAATAAAATTGAAAATCAGAATGGATAACTATTCATTTTGATTTTCAATTTTATTCGTTTTATCTTGCTTTGCCTAATTATACCAGGCAAGGAAACTCTGAAATGAAATTACAATATAATAAAGATTTGCCTATTTTCTGTTCAGTTGTAATTTCATTTCAGGATTTTTTTGCTTGATATAATTGTAATTTTCAGCTATTTGTTTAATCTTCAGTGTTATTTGGCCTTTCAGTGATTTCAAATCATTTTATATCATATTAGATAATGGAAGTCCAAACTAATGAAATTCAACATGAACTATTGTCAACCACCTTAAAACAAACATTTCATTACAATTTATTCTAATAAATTTTTTTTGGATCGAAGAACAAACATTTTGAGTAGAGGCAGTGGGTCCTTCAGTCATATATCTCTATATGTGTCAAAATAAATCAGGATGAAAACCAATATTCATCATAAAGTTTCAGAAATAATTGACACTGTCAAAATATTTTCGAAAATTTCGGGATTTCTCGTGATCAACAACTCGATTATCTGCTGTAAATGGCAATCATTCTAATGATATAATGATTGGGAAAGCGGTTTTGGCCTTCTACTTCTTCATCTTGATACAAGAAATGTGGGAAACTTCCAAAGAAAGAAGGAAGCCATCAATAATTTCGAAAATTAAATCTCTAGGAAGATGTGTAGATCATGCAAAAAAGTAACTTTCAGAAACAAACTGATAAAAAGTCTTTTTTCAAGAGTTTTTTTCATATAAACATTGAATTACACGAACGAAAAATACTTTCGAAAGAAATATTTTATATGAACGATGAATTAAACGAAAAAGACCTTTCTCTATTCAGTTTGTATTCCACTCAAAACCACTCAAATAATTCATAATTACGACTTTTTGTCACGGAATGGGTTGAATTTATCCATGTCATCGATGACAGTACGTAAATTATATTCATTCGCCTATTTGATTTAAATCCCAGCCATAGGAATCTTGTTTAAATTGAAAAGGCTTATTTTTTAGGAGAGAATAATTTTTGAAAAAGAAACTTATTGGAATCAAAAGTGAAAACTGTCGAGGAGAGATACATACGTATAAGGAACTAAATATTTCGAAATAAATTTCGAAATATTAATGTCTCCCAACTACCTGAACAGTAGGGTGTGGTAAACGTCTGTCAAAAAATAGCTATTTCCCCGGCTAATAAAAAGTTATTGGCCTTCTACTTCCTCATCTCTAATCCAATTGTGATTCAAAAACCTTCTTTCCTGAAAATAATATACCCTCTCAATTTGGATACAATGATGTATTGCGAAACTAATTTTGATTAAGATACGCACTTTGGCACACTTGTATGAAAATATTCACACTTCATAACTCTTTGATTTTCATTTCAGATTTTCAACTGAATATTACAAAATTCTACATAACAAAATTTGGTTATTGCAAATATATGATTCATAGCGTTAGATTATAAGAATGCAAAATATCTAGGAATCGATGTATAAAATCAATTTCTGATTGAATGTAGGATAATCTATTGTTTAAGTTATTTTCGGTATTGTTGTTGAATTACCCAAAATTTTATTTTATTTTTATATTTTGCAAGTTTTCTGATTTCCCTATTTATACTTTGGTGAAGTTTTAGCAGAGAGTAGATCGACGAAGATTTGTTGTTTTCAGAACATGTACAAGAAAGCTGAGGGAAAAATGGGATGTTGATATTTTTTTAATCGCTAGAAACATTTTTTGAAAACTACTTACAATCAACGACTTATTGACATAAAGACAAAAAATTCAATATATTTCTTTGCTGATGACAGCACACTTGTATTGTCATTCCATTTGGATTCCAGGACATCGGCTGCGAATGCACATCTTCGTCGACAGCAGAAAGTTGCATATTTCAATGAGGATCTAGAAGTGATTTCGAATTGGAGTGAAAGTAACCAGGTTCAATTCAATGCCACGAAAACTCAGGCATCAATTTTCTCCAAAAATATAAAGTCTCCCTTCGAACCGAAGATCAGACCTTTTTTAGAGTATTGTTCTCATTTAAAAAAGGANTAAAATCAATTCTGCACATCAGTTATGCATTGCGGAACTAAAGAATTCCCACGCACAACTTCGCTTTCAGTGGGTTTCTCCATGTTTGTTTGTATTGCTTTGTTAACATGTTAGTATCTTGTGCTGTTGTATATTTATAAATAAACATTATTATTATTATGGAGCTCCGCCCCTTAACATCCAGGAAAGAGCCATCCGCCTGATTGGGGACGCGAATAGCACTTGCAACCTTGATAATCTGGAACATTCTATAGATACTATCACGGTCAGTGTTCCACTAAGAGTGGGACATATCAGAAATATGCGACGGACTGTGGCTGCTCATCGTTTTGAGGTCCAACTCAGTACATCCCGAACTCCACTCTTTAAAAACTCTTTCATTTGGGGAACTCGTTTATGTGGATTAAACTTCGTGAGAATGTTTTTCCAAATGGATTTAATAATCTTCGGCGATTCAAATCCAATGAGATTTTTCATGGACTGCATGTATTTTGTCCTTGAAAAAATTTGGTTTATTCGGCAGCAAATCGGATATTTTTGTATTCTTCCTTTAGCGATTATATAGAACTGTTTTTCAATAAATGTCTCAAAAATTGAATTTTTTTATTTGCTGACAGCAATGAACTCAATTGTTTGTTTTTGTTTCAGATTATGTTGATGGCTTCCAGGCGTAAATACAGCAAATTCAACACAAAGATTTAGAAGAAGTGAATTAGTAGGCACCATGAAGATATCAATAGTTCTTGTATTAGTGGTGAGTGATACTTTTTCATTACCAACGTGTTTTATAATATAATTCGGGTCTATTTTGGGTACTATTGAATGATGCCGCCGAAAAATCGACCATAGCTTTCTTGGTTCCGGAGGAACATTTGGATTTCGAAAACTTCGAAATTTCATTTTTTGCTGCATCTTTTTTATTTGCAGAAGTAGTGAAAGTTTGTAAGCAATTACCCACTCTAACTTTTATTGCACTAACAGAATATGATTGAAGAATTTCTACATAGGGCGTGGTACGTCTTGAGGCACCCTCAACTTTGAAATTCTGAATACGAACCTGTATTTTTTCGGAGTAGATTGTTTATCTAGTTTTTCATATTCACGTCAGCTTCTTTCATTTGATGATTATTGAATATATTCAAATTTTTCAATACGGCCCTGATGATCACTCCAATGCAAGCAATTCGTATTCTTTTTATGAACCACGGGTTATCTTGAAACAACTTCACCAAGTAACTGAGGCAGTGAGGTTTTTCCACGTCATAGAATTGTCACCAGTTTGAGAAAAACTTAAAATTTTAGACGCTGCCTTCATTTCGGCTGATTCAAAGCTTATAAGAAGTATCTGAGATAAATGACATGTTCCAATAACCGACAACGAAAGTTACAACATGTTCCTAGTTTCGAAGATACTGAAGTACAGATACGTATCTCAAGTTCAATAAGTACATGAATTTATACAATGAACAAATCAATGATTCAGTAATTTCCTCAATATCCTCATTCATATCGTGACTATCAATATACTCTTATACTTAATATGGTCTGTTCTTAAAACTTCCATACTTTTTCCTCGATTATTTATTATTTTTTTATTATAGTTGGGTAGTTGATTTTCGTAACTTTTCAAAATTGATATTGATTGACTTATGATCGAACCAGACTTTCAATTCATTAATTTGGTTTTCACTTTTGAATTTTCCCGATTATCATCGGTATATATTATGGCCGTATCGTCTACAAAACTGTAAATGGAACCAAGTAGGCTGTTGATGTATAATGGAAATAATGTAGGTCCGATCACAGTACTCTGTGGCGAACCATAGTTGATTTCTTTTTCGGAGCTGAGAGTATTTTTTACTTTCACTATTTGCTTTCTGCTACCGAAATAATTTCTGAAGAGTAATAGCATTTCTTCCCCGTATTTCTGAATTATTTAATATCTCCAACAACTGGTCGTGGTCAACAGTGTCAAAAGCTAAGTTCAAAAACACACATAATTCTGCATGAAAAACCCATTATTCACTGAACAGTGGAACAATCTATAGTAATACTTTTTCCAAAAGTTTATGATTCTAGGGAATTGTAGGATATCAGACCCATTTTCGTCTTTACCTCTTTGTCGACTGTTTTGGGCAAAATTATAAATGAGCAAGCACCTTTTACAAATCATCGCAAGTAACATTATTTCACCCGTTACGTTTAGAAAACATCATAATTGCTCAACAGCATTATTTATATTGCAATGCATAATAGGAGCAACAGCTAACAACTTGGATTTTCACTTCAACGAAATGAATGAAAAAACACTTTTGTTTAATTTCCACTAGTTAATTTCATTTATTTGACCGATTTCGGGTTTAACCCCATTATCAAGTATAAAACAGTTTTATACTTGATAATAGGCTTATACACGAAACCGTTAACTAGTGAAAAGTAGACAAAAGTGTTTTTCATTCATTTCATTAAAGTAATTATAAATTACCATAAAATGGACAAGTCATCAATCACACATATTAACTCAAGTTTTCTGAGATTTTTTCAAATTTTTCGGCAATTGAATCCGAGTACACTTCTTTCTACACAACATTTCGCTAGACTCAGTGAGGGAACAGTTGTTTTTTTTGCAAATTTCTTATGCGACCGTAGCCAATATGTTGAGGTGAATGGAAAAAACTAATTTTTAATGTTGTCTGGCGAACTCCACGAGGCTCTATTTTTTAGGGCATTAAGTTTCAGCCAACCTGAATTCTCAAAGGATGAGCTTATGTGATCGTATTTACGGATTCCATACGAAAATCGAATACAACTATTTTGTATTTTCTGAAGACGCCGAGCATTAGTTTGTAGTGAAGCTGGTCCGTAAATGCTATCACAGTAGGCCAGTCGTGAGTGTATCAGAGGCCGAGTTTCAAGTTTTTAGACATTACAAGTCTGTTAGGATATAACTGCCTCAAAATATTGAAAAAAGTCTTACATATGTAATTGACATATTTTATGAATCTAAGTTCGGTGTCAGCCATAAACCTAAATTTTTACTTGCCTCTACAAAGGGAATAGCGTGATTATCGCTGTGAATAGATAGAGATTCACACACCGCACTTCTTCTATTTTTTGGTCCAGAAAGCATAACTTGCGATTTATTTGGATTGAGTTTTACATTGTGTGCACAGGATATATCAAATAGTGATTTAAGATGTCTATCAGTGAGTTTTTCGACCTCTTTAGTTTCATGGAAACTGAAAGAAGTATATAGTTGGGTATCACCGGCGTAGTTGTGAATTTTGCATGTCTGTATGTATTTATGGAAATCACTTATGTAGAGGGCAAAATGAAGTGGTCCCAACACTAAACCTTGTGGTACTCCAAATCTTCTGACCAATGAAATAGATTGTTCACCATCCAGTATGACATTTTGAGTTCGTTCTGATAAATATGTGTCTAAAAGAGATACTGCGCTTCGAGAAAAACCAAAACACTGGAGTTTTTTACACAAGATGAACGAATCTACTGTGTCAAAGGCCTTGCTGTAATCAAGCAAAATGAGATAAGTGAATATTTTTTCCATCACATGACTTGAAAATGTGATAAGTGTCAGTGCTGTTGTTGTACTAAATTGTGGGCGAAACCCCGATTGCACGTCAGAAATGAGATTTTTCTCCACAGAGTAGTTGGAAATTTGATCCTTCATTATCATTTTCAGTGCTTTCGCCATGGTAGGAAGTAAGCTGATGAGTCGAAAATCAGACAATTTGATGGGATAGCTACATTTTGCTGGAGGGGTAACTCTGGCATGTTTCCATGTAGATGGAAATCGACTTGTTGTGATAATGGAATTAAATATAAATGTAATATGCGGCAGCAATTGAGGTATCACCAGATGTAACATACGGATAAGAATTTTGTCACAACCTACAACACTACTTTTGAATTTATTTATATATCTTCTTACTGTTTCTCTATCAATAGTTTTGAAGGAGAAACCATTTTCAGATATCTGTGAAGCATATCTCCCGAAAAAATCAATTTGATAATCTGTGTTATTTACAATGAGTGCATTTGTGAAATATTCGTTTAACAAGTTCAAGTTTTTCATTTCTGGAGGTATGGCAGGAGTACTTTCATCACGAAGTATACTGAGTGATTTAAGCGTACTCCAGGTAGCCCTAGTGTTTGATTTTTTCAATACATGATTCAAATATGCAGCTTTTTCACGTCGAGTTGCATTACCAACATAATTATGGGAAGATTTATAATAATCCCAAGCGCCGGGTGTCCTAAGTCTCTTAAATCTTTGAAAAGCTTTATTCTTGAGTTCGAGCATCTGTTTGATATTGTAAGTGATCCAGAGATATGGCGGCTTGGTTGCTCGTATAGTACGGTAGTACGGTGAGGAGCATGAATATTGAAGAGATGTATCAAATTGGTATTCGAGAAAAATAGCTTACCATCAGCATTGTCCATTGTATACATTGTATTTCAATCAACAGAATGAAGATTATCATTGAAGGAGGTAATATCAAAGTTTCTGAAATCACGATATGTTACATATTTAACATAATCAAATTTCGGTTAATTAATTTCACAACATCTATTGATACAATATGTGGTGGATTATTCACAATCAAAAGGTCTAGTAATGTTTGGCTGACATTAGTTACTCTAGTTGGTGATTTTATCAATTGAACCAAATTGAATGACTCCAGTACATTACTCAATAACTCACTCTTTGTGTATCATGTGTCAATAAATCAATGTTTAGAACACCAACAATAATGAACATATCACTATCGGGAAGATAATTCACAAGATAATCTTGTAATTCACTTAGACAAGTTGTAATGCTGGCGAAAGGAGGACGGTAAACAACTGATAAGACGATTGACTTTCGATTCAGTTTGATACTTATCCAGAGTTGTTCTAAATATGGACTAATATTTGAGTGCAAAAGTGTGAAATTAAACTGATTTTTCATGTAGAGAGCAACACCTCCTCCCAATCCTCACAACATTCATCGGTTTCAATATCACGAAGTTGGCCCACTGTGTAGCTTACACTGTTAATTATCAGCTTGTTACCCCTAATAAAACAGTTTTTGTCGTTTTGTTGTCGATGGGTCTGTAGATGCCTCTTCAAAACCTTCAAGTCTTTCCTTTGTTTGGTAGTGACATCATGGGCAATTGAAATTTCTGTTCTTTTCAATTTTTTACAATTGGCCAGTAAATGCGTTTTACTATAATTTGATAGAAACTCAATCTTCACCGGACGATTTTTCTGGTATCCCAAGCAGTGAATATTTTTTATTTGACCTATTGATAAATCAACACCCAACAGAGATTTCAATTTTTCTTGGAGAAACCCAAAAGTAATCTCGTGGCGTTCCTTATCAATTCCGAAAATAATAATGTTATTTGAATTTATTTGACGTTCTAACTTCTCGACTTTGCCCTTCAAAAAGCTGTTCTTCAACTCTAGTTGTCTAATCCTCTCGTAGGATTTTTATATCCTCAGTTGTATTCTTGCCTCGCTCGCATCTATCGCAATTTTCAATTAAGTCCTATTCAGTTGTATCTCATCAATTATATACTTCAGTTCAGATGTAGAAAGACTCATATTTCGATGTTGATGAGTGTATGGACAGCTTTAGTTCAGTGACTGATATGATAATGTTTTTATTAGCCCTTTTTTTCAAATCTAGTTTAGATATGAAATGATTGTATTTGATTCAACTGAAGGAATTCGCCTTTAGGATGA